GTTAGAAAGCCAGACACAAGGAGAACAAGTAAGTTTGATAAACTCATCCATCCCTGAGGCTTCTCTCTCAAAATATGACATTATAGGATTTTAATCTGGGGTTTAACACCTTTTTGGAGTATCTGGGCATTACTGGAGCGAGTTGTGTAGTTCAGGATCGAGTTGGCTAATACAGTGTTTCCCAGAAAATAAGACCTCCCCATAAAACAAGCGCTAGCAGGATGTGTAAGCATGTGCGCAATAGAAGCCCCACCCCGAAAATCAGCCCTAGTGATGGGCGTGGCTATGAAAATCAGCCCTAGTGATGGGCGTGGCATGAAACATCCAGCCTAATGCCTGGGCGGTGCTTATGCAAGATAGCCCTAGTCGATGGGCGTGCTCACTGAAAATCAGCCCTAGTGACGGCGTCGGTGCGCAGCGCATCTGCACGACCCATGCTGTCGTCCATGGAGTGGGAAAGAAATGAGCAGCGCCTTCTCATCTGCCGTGGAGCTCTAAGTGCTCCACAGGAGAGATCGGGCCGGTGGTCTAAAGGAAACAGAGTCCAAGAATTCAGGATGGGATTTCCGGGTTTTTTGGGAAGAGTGGGTTGGCTTTGAATGACCTGGTTTCCCCCCCCCAGAAAAGGAAAGGGCAAACGAAAATTTTTCCCGGCTTCTTTTTATTTTTTGAAAAAAATCCCCCAAAATTTGGGGGAGGAATTTTTTTTTTTCTCATTGTTTACGGTGTACCCTTTAAAAAAAAAAAAATAAACAAGAAAACAAATCCCCCCTTTGGGGAAACAAATCTAAAGCCCCCCTGCGGCGGCGTGGAGGCTCCCCCTTTTTCCCCCTTTTTTTTTTTTTGAAGGGAAAAAACTAAGTTAGAAAAGACCCTTGCTTTTTTCCTTTACCATCTGTTTTTTTTTCAAGGGGGGAAAACCCAAATTGGGCGGGTTAACAAGGAGAATTTCAAACAATTGGGGGTTTTTTGACCTTTTAGGTTTTTGGGGAAAACCTCAAAGCCCCCCCTTTTTTGAAAAACCGTTTTTGGGGGTTTTTTTTTTTTTTTCTTTTTTTCTTTTTTTTTCTTTTTTCTTTTTTTTTTTTTTTCTTTGAGAAACCAGGAAATCCCCCCCTTTTTACTTTTCTTTTGGTGGTCAAACCCCCCAAAAAGCTTTTTTAGAGGTTGGCCCGTGGCCGGGTCCCCCCAGCCCCTTTAAAAGCCTCAACCAAAGCAACCCTTCCCAGCAAACTTTCCTGGGGCCCCTTTTCCCCAGCGACTCCCCATTACCCCTTTTTTGCCTTTTCCAAGCCCCCCTTTTTTTCCCCCCGAAGTAAAAGCCCCCCCTTTTTGGGGGACCTTTACCCAGGGGGCCCCACATGCCCCGCCCCCAATGCCCCCGGCGGCCCCTTTTAAAAACTTTTTTTTTTTTTTCCCTAACACACCTATTTTTTTTTTTTTTAGTCGTTGGTCCAATTACATTTTTTCCTTTTCCCCTAATTTTTTTTTTTTAAGTAAGACAGAAAAACCCGGGCGGGGGTCCCTTTTTCAGATCATCCCTTTTTTGCCCTATCCAAAAGGCCCCTGGGCATTTTTTTTGGAAAACTCCCTGGGGATTCTTTTTTTTTTTCGAGACAGTCGCGAATTTTCCGCCCGGCCCCTTCCCGGCCCCTTTTCTTATTCCAAAAAAAGAAAAAAGGTTTTTGGCCTTTGGGGGGCATTTGACCAGGGCCCGGTCGAGCCTCCGCCCCCGGCCCTGGGCGGTTTTTTTTTTTTTTCTGAGGGGGGTTTTTTTCCTTTTTTTTATTAACAAAACCCCTTTGTTTTTTTGCCCAACCTTCGGTCTTTTTTAAATTCTATTTGGTAGGTTGGGGGTTAAAACTGGCCAATTTTTTGAAGACCGCCCCTGCCAGGAAAAAAAACGGGAAAAAGTTTTCCCCCCCCGAAGGGTTCCCCCCATCCCCGAAAGCCCCATCCCAAAACCAAGCCGGCCCCCCAATCCAAGAATCCCCTGGGGATTGGCCTGGGGGGGGAACCCGGGGGGACAAAAGCAAGGAGGGAACGGCCCCTTTGTCCAAAACAAAATTAAAGGGCGGGCGGTAATGGCGTGCCACAAATACTTGCCTTTTTTACGGAGCCCCCCCCCCGCAGGGAACAAAGCTTTTTCCTTTTTTTTTTTTTCAAATTCTTTGTCCAAAAAACAACCACCAGGAGTTAAAAAAAAAAAAACAGGTACGAGGCCCCCCCAAAATTTCCCCAAACAAGGGAACCCTAAAACAAAAAGGTATTCCCCACTTTCCCTTCTGTTTTTTGTTTTTCTTCCCATAAAGGGAAGAAAAACCGGAACTTTCTAAAGCCAACAATAAAAATGGCCCCCAACAAATGCCAAAACAAATTGTTCTTGCAAACCAATATGCCCAAAACCTTTTACTTTTTTGCTTTTTTTTTTCCCTCCTTTTTTTTTTTTTGTTTTTTTTCTTTCCCCATAAGGTGGTTTCCCTTTTTTTTTTTTTCCCCCCCTTCTCCCCCTTAAAAATTGAAAGGGTGGGTGTTGGGAACTTTCAATTTTTAAAATATTTTTTTACCCGTTAAAACCCCTTAAAAACTCCCTAAAACCAGAATTTTTTATTATTTTTTTAATAAACATTTCCCCTGGTGGGGAAAAACCTTCCCCAAAAGGGGTTTTTTGGGGGGGGGGTTAAAAGAACAAAGGGCAAAGGCGACAATTTTTTCTTTTTTTTAAAGCCCAAATTGCCCCCTCTTGGCCAAAATAAAAAATTTTGGGGTAATTGGGTTTAAAATTTCTTTTGGCCAAAATGGGCAACCCTTTTTATTCCCCAAATCAATATCCCGTTTCCCCACCGCGGTTTTTTTTTTCCCCCTTTTTTTTCTTTTTTTTTCCTTCCAGGATTTCTGGGTATATATTAAAATTGGAGTAGGGGGAAGGGGAAAAAAAAAACTACCCCAAAAACATAAAAACCCTTAATTTAAGCCCTTCTTTTTGCATTTTTTCTTTATTCCTAGTTTCTGGCGGGCTTCTTCCCCCCCCCCAAAAATCCTTGTGCTTGGCCCCGGAGGTTTTTGCCCCCCCCGCCCAAAACTTCGGCGCTTCCCCCTTTCCTGAAGGGCCCCCCCCTTTCTTTGGGTCTGGGGGGAGAAAAACCTTTGTTGCGGGATGCGATTTTTTTTTCCAGAGGAATTTCAATTTTGGGGCCCCCTCGGCAAAAAATGCAAAGGCCAAAAAAAAAAAAATTAAGGAGGGGAAAAAAAGGAAGTTTTGTTTTCTTCGTCTTTTCCCCCTTTTTTTTTTTATACATTTTTTTTTTTTTCCCTGGGTTTTGCCTTTTTTTTTTTTTTTTCTTTCTCTTTTTTTCCCCCCCTTTTTTCCAACGCTGGGATTCTTTTCTGGCGCCCCCCAAGGGGGAATTTTTTTTTTGGGGGGAACCCCCCCCCCCAGACGGTTTAAAAGCCCCCCAAAAAATTGGAGAAAAAATATAATCAAAAAAAAGCTCCCCCCTTCAGAAACCCCAAAAAGGACAATCCCCTACCTTTTCGCCTTTTTCAAAACATGACAAGGAAAAGGAATTGGGGGGGAAATTTTTTCAAAATTTTCTTATCTTATTTGAAAAAACAAGGTTGGGAAAAAAAAATCTCTTACAAATCAAAATTTACATTTTTTTTTTTTTTTTTTTTTCTTTTTTTTTTTTTTTTTAAAAAGTTTCAAAATCGGGTTAAAATTACCCTTTTAAAAATTTAAGGGGCAAAACAAAAACTCAAAAAGGGGAATTTAAAATTCAAAATGCCCCTCCTTTTTTTAGGGTGGTAAAAATTCTTTTTAGATTAATGTGCCCCTCCCCTGAGGAACAATTTTTCCCCCCCCCAAAAAAAAGGGTTTTTTGAAGAACCCTGGTTTTTTCTTGGGGGAAAAACATTTGTTTTTGGGGTTTTTTTTTATTTTTTTAAAAGAAAAAGAAAAAAGGGGAACAAATTTTTTTTTTGAAGGCACAAAAATTGCAAAAAAAAAAAAATTTTTTGGGGGAAAGAGGCCAACCACAATGAAAACAAAGAAACAAAAATTTGGAGGG